AAGATATGTTTGTTAACAATTGAGCAGGAGTATTGAGCAAGAACATTTTCTCTCTCATATGTAGTGCTTTTAGGTGTTATATATATATATAAGATAAAAGATAAGTTTACTAACAATTGATCATGATGACTTTATTTCTCATATGTTGTTCTTTTAAGTATTCCTTATACGTAGTATAATGCTATTAGGTACAAGATAAAACGTCTAACAATTGAGCGGGACAACTTTCTCTCTCACATGTAGTGCTTTTAGAATAGTACTTAATTTTAAAATTAATTTAATCATGAATTAATGAGTAGCAAATTCTAATCGGAGGTGTTTAATAAATTTCTCCTAATATACTCATCATTGAATATTTATTGTATGAACTTATATTTTATGGTACTCTGTATTAGGTTATTGTACTTTTATTTTTCGAAAATGTAGAATCCTAAAATTTAAAGTTATTTTTATTTTAATATTTAATTAGATAACGAGTAAAAATATATGCACCGACTGTTACTTCTCGTGCGTATGCACGAGTACTATACTAGATTAAAATGTAAATTTTAGGTTCTTTAGAAATAATAGTTTTAGTGAGATAATGAGACATTTTTGGATATAAATATCATCACTTTTAATTTCATGTATTATAAAAGTTAGAATAAGTTAATCTAGTTCAATTATGTTTTTAATACATCAAGCACTTGAGTTCATACTTGAAATTAGGCAGTGATCGAGTTGAGTGTTATTACGTCGACCTGAACGCAACAATTGCCTTGGTGAAGTTGGGCCTCCTTAAAGTTGTTTGGTCAATATCACATCAACTATTCCCTCAATTCTTGTCATAAACTCCGTATTTGTGGAAAGTTTTCAATTATTCATCTCATTTTCATATTTGAAAACATACCTTGCTTTTTCATACTCACTTTCTTTTTTCCCCTCATTTTATCTTTCCCTTTTTTCTTCTCTTCTAACTTTTTCTAGTTTTTCCTAGCCTAATTATCATCTTAGACTTTTCTTAGTCCATGTGAAATACTTATAGCAGGAAGTAAAAAAGAACGGAGAGAATATTATAACATATAGAGAAATTACTCTAAATAGGATTAAAAACGTTTGTATATTCGAATATATAACTATAATGTTCTTATTCCCAAAATAAGACTAATTATTGCAATGTTTTGGTAGTACCAGACTTTAAACATGGCAGTATCTTCCGGACTCGGCAGTAAGTACTCCTACTTTGGGAATAAAAACATTAGAGTTCTATTTTGGAATTTCTTTGGAAATTTTCCCTTACATATATAGTTTGTCCTTTTCTTTGGATAATACTTATGTACCTTCAGCTCTTGCCATCATCTTACTCTCTTTCTGCTGGTCATCACACCATCACTGCTACTCACTATCCCCGTTGTTATGCTTCTTCTATTTCTCTAGTTGGAGATTAGGGATGGAAACCAGTAAATGGCGGAGAATCCAATGACTATGGCTAAGAAAATGATGATAATTGCTGGTAGGTGGGCATCGATGGTGAACAATGGTGGTAATCATGACATGCAACTAGGGTTTCTATGGGGATGGCACATTGTTTGCAGATCAAAGAGGCTACCTTTTTTATTTGCGAGGTACTTATGGTGGCGCAAGGTAGTAACAAGAAACCAGGGCAGTGTAAGGAAGGGTAGGGGTAGGGGTAAGGGTTGGGTTGAAGTTGGGGAAGTGGTAGGAGATGGTTTCAATATGTGATGATAACGAGAAAGCATGAATCTCTAATGATTGAGGCCACTATTGATGGTGGGTCATTCTCCATGGCAGCGAGTCATTATAACTGGCAAGGAGTCATTGGGGGCAGCTGGTAGGGAGTTGAGATCACTAGCAACAAGGTCAATGAGCGCTAGAGTCACTTGGGCCACGGTATGCACGGACTCGGGCCGGGCCTAGGCCCGGTCGGGCCACCGGTTTGCATCACATGGATCCGGGACCGGCCCGAGGGTTGGACGGGTCCGGTTCGGGCCGGGCCACCCGCCCGGGTCACGGGTCAGGCCACCCATCGTGCCGGGCCGGTTAAAGTAATTTTTTTTTATAATTTATATTTTATACTTTATAGTTTTATACAAGTATTAAAAACAAATTTTAAGTGCATTTATTTGAAATCAAATAGGAACTACATTTGAAAATTAAAACAAACTTCATGAGACAAACATTTTGTAAATTGTAATCAATCGGAACTTCTCGCACCTCCCGTTCATTTGGCTTTGTCACATGACTTAATATGCTTCATTGTCATCCCGTATCCGCCTGAAACCCCCATGCTACATTTTTTCCCGCACCATTTGCAAGTTGAGTACCACATCCCGGTCTTCGGGTCCTTCTGCTTATCAAAATTATACCGTATAACGGCATTTTGACTTTCCATCTTAAAAAGTTAAAAATGGTAGATATAATAATCCTACAATAGATGGAGATGAAGATGGAGATTGGAGAATGGAGATTAGAGATTGGAGAAGATGTGTATAAAAATGTTAGAAAATAAGAGTATTTATAGAATTTTTTGTACCCCCACCCCCCACCCACCCCCACCCCCAACCCCAACGGCTCTATGCCTCTATTGATTCAAATTTCAATAGAGCCGTTTGGTGCTTTTGAATTTTGATTTCAATTTTTTTTTGTATGTTTTATTTTGAATAAATTACATAATGTAAAGGGAAAAATACTCTATTATTACTAAAACTCACCACTTTTCCTAAAATATGACTATAGATGTTTTTTGATGTGGTGTATGACCAAATTATGTGGCACAAAAATAGGAGCAATCAATAAAGATGAAGTGCTACACGGTTGTCTCTAAAAAATAGGATGTCAATATTAATCATATGGATGACAACATGCATCATTATAGCAAAAAACCATAATTAGTCATACTCTAGGAAAACACTTGAGTTTTAGTAATATTTATAATAATTCTCTCTAATGTAAAATTAATTAATTAATTTTATGAATTCAAAAAAAAATGCTACATATAAAAAATGAACGTATATTTATTTGAAATATGAACTACAAGTTTACAAAATTACAAGTTACAATTGAGAATTGAAGGTAAAATTAAAACATGAAATACTAATCAATCATTCAATCGAAATCTCCAGCATAGGTAGAGCCACCCTCGGTTGTAGATTCATCCATAAAGTGTTGGGATGGGGTGATGTCAATTTCTTGAGTTCTACGGGCCGCTTTCAACCAATCGTGGTAGCATATAAGCATCTCAAGAGATTCTGCGCTCAACCTCGTTCTACATTGCGTTAGGACATTGCCGACCGAACTAAATTTTTGTTCCACGGCAACCGTTGAAATCGGCATTGATAGCACTTGCTTAGCCATCTTTGCTAAAACCGGGAACATTCTTTCTTTTCCCTTCCACCAGTTTAGTACGTCAAAATCATCATCTTCTTCAAAATCAACATCATGTGAATTAACTAGTTTTGTGTACAACCTATTTTTTTTACTAACAATGAAATTAATATACTTTAACTTTAACTATAATGAGAATTAACTAGTTTTTTAAACTAGAGTCAAATGTAGCAAATAATAAAAAATTGTAATAAAGTATTTAACTATTAATCTAACTATTAATTCGAGTTATAGCAAATTAGTATTTTAAAGTTTACTTTAATCAAATTAACTAGTGAATTAACTAGTTTTGTGTACAACCTATTTTTTTTACTAACAATGAAATTAATATACTTTAACTTTAACTATAATGAGAATTAACTAGTTTTTTAAACTAGAGTCAAATGTAGCAATTAATAAAAATTTGTAATAAAGTAATTAACTATTAATCTAACTATTAATTCGAGTTATAGCAAATTAGTATTTTAAAGTTTACTTTAATCAAATTAACTAGTGAATTAACTAGTTTTGTGTACAACCTATTTTTTTACTAACAATAAAATCAATACACTTTAACTTTAACTATAATGAGAATTACAACTAGGTTTTTGTACAACCTATTTTTTTTACTAACAATCAAATTATTATAGTTTAACTTTAACTATTATGAGAATTAACTAGTTTTTTTTTCAAGTGACGTTAATACAAAATTAAAAAAGTGTAAATAATAGAATAATTTTGTACCTTTTTCGGTCTTTCGGTCTTTCGGATGGGAGTAATAGAATGACTTCAAATTAATTAGATATAATTCCAACTATATTAATAGATATAATAAATGTATAAGTAATATATAATTAGATAACAAATATAAGTAATATAATATTATAATGTATGTATTTATAAATTATAAGTAGATAATTAATATAAAGTAGATATATAAATAATAAATATAATATATTGGAGAATAAGAGAATTAGAGAGTAGAGAGTTAAGAATAGGATTTAGGAAGAATTGGAGAAGAGATATGAAAAAATGCTTAAGATTAGGAGTATTTATAATATTTTTACCCCACCCCCACCCCCACCCCCCACCCCCAAACCCCCCGGACCCCCCTGCACCCCACCCAACGGCTATATGACCGTTTGGGTTGTCCCCAGCCCACCCCCCAACGGCTATTTTGGCCAAAACAAAAAAATTAAAAAAAATGACCATTGGACCCGAGTCAACTTTTTCCGGAACCAAGCCCGCCCCACCCATCCCCACCAGTTCAGGTCTACACCCGGTCCCGGACCGCCAGACCAGGCCGGTCCCGGGCCCGCACAGTAGCGGGCTGGGCCGGGTCACGGGCCGGGTGGCCTGAACCGAATCCACCCCTAGGCGACGGAGTTACTGGCAATAGGTCATCGGGGTCAAGTGCCAAATGACATCACTAGATATTACGATGGTGATTTAGTAATATACATTTACAAGCTTCATAATGTACGGCTTGTTTAGCCTCGTTTTTTAAAATTAAAAAAATGTCTCTTTTTGTTGACAACGTACTTTTTAGTAATATATATTTATGTCAAAACCTCTATTTATACTCCATATTTTATATTATGTATGATATTATATTTCTAGAGTGAGTATATATAAGTAACACATTATTCACATTGTATGATTATATATGTATTCTACATTTAACATATTTATAATTATATAGTAAAAAATAAACTGGTTCAGAACCAGGTTGCAATGATACTCATAGACCAAAGCGTCTGGTCTGGGATTATTTAAAACTCATCTAAACAACAGAATCCCCTGCAATAAGGTGAAACAAACACCCTCATTGTCTGAAATTAAGCTCCTTAAAAGATTGGTCTAACTTCATAGCACATGTGTAACTTGTGCATAACCATACCATCATAAGAACTAAACAATTTGTAACCGTTACTAGTTCTTGCAGAATAGCAGTTATAAACCTCCAACCACATATTGTCACATTACGGTACATCGGCTACTTTGCTCTTGGGGTTGTACACTGGTTTGTTGATACCTGTTTGATGACTCTGATGGATTGTATGTGAACTCTGAAGTGTCAAGCCCATACTGCATTTGCCACCAGAAAGTTGGTAACTTGTTAAAACAGCTAAAACGTAAAACCACTTTGTTACAAATCATCCCAATAGTTGACTTTGCACACCCTGTTATACTTTCTTTGACTGCACTCGTAGTAGCAGGGAGTTGCGAAGTCAAATACATAGTATTAGGGAAAGGGAAATGGATCAAATATACCCTTGCACTATAGGATAGAGATCAAATATACCCTTTAAATACAATAAAGGTATATCAAATGCAAAAAATGTAAAGTTAAGTTAGAACAAATATACTCTTAATGGTATATCAGAGAACATATATACCCCTTAGCTATACATGAGAAAACATATATACCCCTCAACTATTTTGGCCCAAGGGTATATTTGTTCTAACTTTACAATTTTGTATTCAATTGTTCCAAATAAAAGTTGAGGGGTACATTTGTTCTCTAACATATAATTCAAAGGTAAATTTGTAAGTTCTCCCATTAAAGGTAATAGCAAATACAAAACGTTCATTAGACTTTGCAGCTCATGTTTAGCCTATATAATTTTGAATCCCACTCCGGAGTGCTTTAGAGTGCACCGTTCAAGAACATACACATGAGGTGCAAATGTTTTATACTTTACTCACTAAGGTTTTAGATTAATTAATAGGATTTACTAAGTTTAGAGAATTAATTAACACTGCAAATCTCATGCAACCGATACAAGTATGGTTGGAATTGGGGTGCTGATGAAAATGAAGAGAGGGGGGATTACAATGATACGAAAGAACTCAAATGTGGTTTGAAAAAGTGGAGTTATATGCGTTCTCTTGCTCGATCTCCATGAGAATCAGTCCTCATAGATACAGTTTATTAGTAAAAAAGAAATCCATAACAAAATGAAAATTAAGTGATGAGGAGCAGCAGCCAGCAGTGTATGACAGTGATGAGGTGGCAGTAAGACGGTCCACAAGGCCACGTAAGCAGAATAAAAAATACCTTGTTTAAATAAGTTTCAATATTATTTGTGTTTTCAGTTGTAAATAAGAGAACAAGTCTTCCTGGTTTTCAGGGAGAATGTTCTCCACTTTCCCATTCCCTGGATTTTTGGAGTCCATGACTCCACCTTTCCGTTCTTTTGTTCATGTACTTGGCTATTTAGATCAATGAAAAACAACAAAAATAGGTAGTCTAAACTACCAAAAACACCTGTCTTATGCTAGTACGAGCATATCTCTTTGGCTTTGAAAAGGGACCTTATCAATTTGGTATCAGAGCCAGGTTGGTTCTTGTTGGCGGTATTCCCTATGAATCAACGCCCATCAAGAATTTTCTTCAGTATCACTCACCCCAATTCACAACATTCCACCCCGAAAATCTCAAAAACCAAACAAGCCAAGGGTCGTTGTCCAGGGAGACGAGCCCATGCCGAACAACAAGGAGAGACTCGACGACTTAGAGGCAGGCCTTGGGTTGATGCAGGAGAGTCTCGGAACTGTGCAAGATGAGCTTCAGAAGATAAACACCGGCATAGGAGACCAATTCCGGAGTTTGGAGACTTTGTTCAACCGAAATCTAGAAGATGCCGTGAACCGAATGAGGGAATTGATGGCAGCCAACCGCGAAAGTGGGTCCAGCGCAGCACAGGGACATCGTCGGGCGGAAGAGCACGGGGGAAGTCACGTGTATACCACATATCCTCCACACGGACATCCTCGTCAGGTGAAGCTGGAATTCCCAAAATTCAGCGGTGGAGACCCGAAGGAATGGATGAGCAAGGCAAAGCAGTACTTCGCCTATCATGAGATGCCACAAGATCAGAGGGTTAGCTTTGCTTCTTATCACTTGACGAAGGAAGCCAACACGTGGTGGCAAGCGAAGTCAAGAGCTCGAGGTTTCAACCCCCATCGGATCACGTGGGAAACATTTGAGGCTGAGTTGTGGACGCGATTTGGCCCAATTGACGGTGAAGACTTTGACGAAGCGCTCTGCCACATCCGCGGACGCTAATTGAGTATCAAAGAGAATTCGAAAGGCTGCAGAACAAGGTTGAAGGATGGTCAGAGAAGGCATTGGTGGGGGCGTTCATGGGTGGACTTCACCCTTCTATTTCCAGTGGGATTAGAATTTTCAAACCGAAGACACTAATGGAGATCATCAACCTGGCCAGATTAAGAGACGATCAGTTACAGAAAGAAAGAAAATGGGGTGGGCAGCGGTCTTACAATTCCAAACCCTTGCCTCAAATTGTAAACTCATCACCAGATTTTGTTCAGTCATCATCAGTTGGTGATAAACCCACACCGGGTCCACGGCGGCTGAGTTGGGAGGAGCTTAAAAAGAAGCGGAGCTTGGGGCTGTGCTTTAGTTGCGATGAACGGTTTTTACCAGGACACAAATGCAAGCAGCCACAGCTGTTTGTCATGGAGAGCGAACAAGATTCTGACAACCATGAAGAAGAACTGTTAGCGGCAACTGATCAATCACCAGAGATCACACTACATGCCTTGACGGGTTGGGATGCTCCTGCAACTCTTCGTCTTCGCGCAGGCATAAGTAATCGCAAACTGGTTGCCCTTGTGGACAGTGGCTCAATTCACAATTTCATCAGTATAAGGGCAGCACAGCAACTCCGGTTAAAGCAGACACCTACGACACCATTCCTGGTACGAGTCGTCAACGGTGAACCAATGAGGTGTGAGTGCAGGTATGACGACGTTAAGGTGTGGATTGGTGAGGTTACTTTCACAATGACCTTACCCGCAGTTCCGTTAGTGGCCCTAGACTTGGTTCTGGAAGTAAAATGGCTAAAAGGTTTAGGGCCGGTGACCTGTGATTGGAAAGCTCAGACACTGCAATTTAAGTGGGGATGTCGGACTCATGTGTTCCGGGGACTCAAAGCTGCAATGATTCAGGCCACGAATGCACATGACATGATCAGGGAAGCTCATCGAGGACATACTCTTTATGCTATCTCGCTGAAGCAGAAGAACCATTGATGCCAGTAGTTGAGCAACTGAGAGACTTGATCCAGGAATTTGAGACACTATTTCAAATTCCAGACAGTCTCCCCCCTAGCCGCGAGATTGAGCATCACATTACACTCAAGGAGGGCACTGATCCTATCAACGTTCGGCCCTACCGTTACGCACATTATCAGAAGGAAGAGATTGAGAAACAAGTGACAGATATGCTCAACTCAGGAATCATTCGCCCAAGTTCCAGCCCCTTTTCATCACCGGTGCTCTTAGTTAAGAAAAAGGATGGTTCATGGAGGTTTTGCACTGATTACCGGGCACTAAATGCGGCAACAATTAAAGATCGATTCCCAATTCCCACGGTGGATGATATGTTAGACGAGCTACACGGGCAGCTTACTTCACCAAACTCGATCTTATGGCAGGTTATCATCAGGTTCGAATGCATCCTCCAGACATCGCCAAGACCGCATTTAGAACACATAATGGGCATTACGAGTATTTGGTAATGCCCTTTGGACTGTGCAACGCGCCCTCAACGTTTCAGGCACTTATGAACTCAATCTTTAGACCATTGCTGCGTAAATCAGTGTTAGTATTCTTCGATGACATCCTCATCTACAGACCCGATTGGGAGACACACTTGATGCATGTGCGGGAAGTGTTCCAAATCCTGCAACAAAACCAGTTGTCTGTCAAATTCAAGAAATGTGCCTTTGGCAAACAGGAGCTGGAGTATTTGGGTCACATCATCACCAACAAAGGCGTTAAGGTGGATCAATCAAAGATCAAGGCTATGTTGGATTGGCCAGCTCCAACTAACATCACTGAGCTACAGGTTTTCTTGGGATTGACGGGTTACTACCGTAAATTCGTCAAAGATTATGGCCTCATAGCAAGACCTTTGATGAACCGCCTGCGTAGGGGGCAATTCACCTAGGACAAGGAAGCAGAACAAGCGTTCACTGCACTCAAGCAAGCCATGACTACAACTCCAACTCTAGCCCTTCCAGATTTCACTCAACCATTCATGATTCAAACTGATGTGTCAGGAGAAGGCATTGGCGCAATTCTCTCCCAGAATGATAAACCAGTAGCGTTTATGAGCCGCACGTTGGGGGTGGCAAAGAGGAATTGGTCCACATATGCTCGTGAGATGCTGGCCATCATCGTGGCCATACGAACATGGCAACCATATCTCCGTGGTCGCAGATTCACCATCCAGACCGACCAGCGCAGCCTCCGGTACCTGCTCGAACAGCGAATACTCACTCCAGAGCAACAGAAGTGGATGGGGAAATTAGTTCGGTATGATTATGAGATCATATACCGGCCAGGGAAAGCTAATGCTGCTGCAGATGCATTATCACGCGTCCCTGATAGCCCTGTGCTCAACTCTATCTCCATACAACATGCAACGATATGGGATGAATTGAGAAAACTGGCAGAAACCGATCCATATTTGGTACGGGCAGGAGAGGCAGCTAGGGCTGCACCAGGGAAACCTTATGCATGGCGGGATGGTTTAGTATGCTACAACAACCGTGTGGTAATACCTCCTAACTCTAGGTTCATTACACAGTGTTGAAAGAATTAAAGATAGAATAGTAATGAGAAGAATGATTTTTGTGTGTATTTATACATTACAAAGATAGAATATTCCTTTAAGATTCTATACAATAATAATATCCTAGAGTATATTCCTAAAATATTCTAAAGCATATTCTAAAGATAGAAGAATATTCTAAAACATATTCTAAAGAATATTCTATATTGTCTTTCACACTCCTCCTCAAGTTGGAGCATAAATATTTATCATGCCCAACTTGTTACATAAGTAACCAACACGAATTCCATTTAGTGCTTTAGTGAACAAATCTCCAAGTTGCTCTCCAGTCTTCACATATCCTGTAGAGATCAATCTTTGTTGTATCTTTTCTCGAACAAAGTGACAATCGATCTCAATACGTTTTGTTCTCTCATGAAACACTGGATTGTTGGCAATGTGTATAGCAGCTTGGTTATCACACCAGAGTTTAGCGGGCATT